TTCTTCACAAGAACTCCGACCGATTGTTCCAACGTCGGTGTTCTAATCCAGCTGAGAGCTATTTCTGAGTTGGAGAAGACGCATACTTCTTCAATTTTGACTCGATGACCGAGGCCTCATAAATTGAGTACGCTAGCCTCATCGCCATGGTAAGAGCGTTGAGCTCCAATTTCGGAATAGTTGGCTTGTCCTTGATGGATGGAAGTTTGGACTTTCCAGCGATAATGTGGCTGTCTGATCCGGAGACGAGGTATGCGCAGGCTGCCATTCCGTGTGAACTAGCGTCAGCAAAAAGAACAAGGCTCACATTAGTGTCGATGTGAGCAACTTCCCTCGGAAGCGATATCTCAAAGCCATCTGCTCCTTCCACAATGTTCTGCCATTCTTGCTGGTGTTCGACTGAAGCGGAGTGTCCCAGTCGTAGCCGTGTTTCCAAAGCTGCTGCAGAAAGTGCTTTCCTCGAAGGGTTAGAGGTGTCAGCAGCCCTAATGGATCATAAACAGAGGCTGCTTGTTCCGAGATTGACCTTTTTGTTAACTTTCCAGAAGTAGGTCGATAGCGACATGTCAGAAGAAGCTCGTCTTTTTCGGATTGCCACCGTATACCAAGGACCTTTTGAAGAGTGTTAGCGCTCAGGTCCGCTGGTGNTCGTCTTTTTCGGATTGCCACCGTATACCAAGGACCTTTTGAAGAGTGTTAGCGCTCAGGTCCGCTGGTGCAATACGCGCATTGAGGGTTTCATCGTTTGAACGAAACTCTCGTAGATTCATTCGAAGATCGTTGAACAGCTGCTTTGAATCCGTGTAGTATTGCAGTGCCTCTTCTTCGGATGACGTCGTTACTATGATATTGTCCACATAGGTGTTACTCGTTACTTCTCTTGCCAGTTTGGGATTCACCGAGCATGTGACCAGGTGATGCTTAATTGTACCGGCCAAGAGAAACGGTGAACAATTGAGTCCAAAGGTCACTCGTGTGAACCTGTAGATGACCGTATTGCCTGGAGTCAACGGTTGATTGATATCGCGTATCGTAGTCAACGCGTATGAGCAGAGGCGTCAAAAACCACTCTGAGTTTAGTGGTCTCCTTCTGAGGGGTGAGAACAGCATGGTGCGCGAGATAGTGCACGACTGATGCTTCAGTGTGGCTGTCCTCGTCTACTTCCTCAATGATACCCTGCTCGTGCTGACTCGCGATCGTATCGTGATATTGTTGTAAGATGAGAGGATCTTTTGCGAGCTTTGCAAGTGTAGCCTGAAGTCTTCGTAGAGCGAGTCCTTTGTTGTCTGGGAGTGCTTCGGCATTGTCTTTCCAAGGTAGCCCTACATAGTAGCCATCCTGTCTTTTCTCGATCGTCTGCTCAAATGTCTTCCAAACTTGTGCGTCCAAGTTCTTGCGTTCTTCGACACTTGGACCAGTGAACTCATGAACACCTGTCGACTCAAATGTGCAGAATTGTTCCCAAGTTTGCAGGTCTTCAACGTCTTCAATCGAACCTGTCGTGCTTGTTTTGACTTCTGCATCGGAGTGCGGCTGTTCCGTGAGATTCGCATCTGGAGGGGCCTCGTATCCAGACATGAGATATCCTAATTTCGAAGGAATGAGTGTCAGTCCTGAAGGCAAAGTCTTCTGTCTCGCGAAGCCTCCTTCAAGAAACGTATACAGGTCCGCACATCCAAGTAGCACTTGGGGTTTGAGCTCCATGGTATCCGCGTTTATCGACAGACGGATATTGTTATCACTCAGAAATCGTCTGTCCTCTTCGCTGAGGCTACGTCGCAGTATTGGCTCTGTCACAGTCCCGATTTTCGTGACTGTTATTCTGTGAGATTTCCCATGAGAATCCCACATTTGTACCTGGGTTATTCCGCATGTTTCCTGCAGAGGCTGCTTAGAG